GGCCCGAGCTGTCCGATGCATGACTCGAGCCTGTTCTGTGGTCGACCTCTCTGGGTCTGCTTCGACCGGTCATCACACTCGCATAGCTCTCGAAACGATTTCAGCAAATAGGATTTGTTCCATGAAAAAACCACTAATCAGTGTTGAGAGCACAAGTTGGCACGAGATCACGAGCAGCAAAGAGCAAAGATCGGAACATGAAGTCAGTTTGCTGGCATCGCTAATTTGGTCCGCCCAGTACAGAGTGGAAGCAGACACACTCAATGCATGTTGGCTTTGAGTAGCCAGACCGATGAAGTTCGCTCGGCTGATGGGAGACCTGTCCCTAAGCCTCTACCCCGGTTTTCTAGCACTCATTCCTTCGTGTTGGCAGCTCCCTCCACAAGCTTGCCGTCTTTGACCAGCACCCTCCCTCTCTTCCGATCCTCAACTTTGCTGAAGAAGGTCATAGGAAGCACATCATCTTCCCCGCCTGCGCTCAGAATGACTCCATTCTCGCTGCGGAAGAAAGCGATACCGGCGTCCATTGCACGACCCACGTCGACGTAGATCAGAATGGTTGACGAGTTCCGCATTCCACTGATGACAGGCGCGCTAGCGGTGCCTTCTGCAGACGCAGGAGTATCTTCGACTGATTTGAAGCCGCTAGGCAAACCAGCTGCAAAGTGGATGTGAGTCCTGTTCATCTTCTTGAGGCCACCCGAGCGGAGGATCAGCGGCCAGGCTTGGTTTGTGGTGCCGTGGACACATGTGGCAGGAATATCTTCCGCTGTGATCGGATTCAGAAGGCCGTCTGTTTCGACAGCGATACTGTGGCCTTGGTTTGCGCGGATCAGGTACTGAGCAGGGTCTTCGCTCTCATTAGTGAGGGTAGCATCCCCTGTTGTTGTGGAGGCGTCTTGGGCTTCACCGGCGTTCTCTGCCTGTGGAGCGGACCCGACGGGTATGAGGGAGAATCGCTGCTTCTCGTTGTCTCTGACTATATCGCGTACTTCTGCAAATGACACTTTCAAGGACTTGAGTTGTTTTGTGTTCAGCTGTGAAAGATTAGCCATCTTGGTCTTCAATAATCCAGAGATTCCTGAGGTTGGACCATAGAGCGATAAAAGGTTGATATATGAGATTTGGAAGGGCGAGAAGCATACCACGTCTCCCAGATTGACATATCCGCCCGGTCCCAGGACTAATCCCTCCTCCGCGGCGGAGTGCCTTAACAGCCGACTGAGCTTCTTCGATACCTGAACATCGCGTGGCATTGGTCCGCCGCCTCGGCCGCCGCGCCTTCCCATGGCGCTTGCTTGGCAGATGAGAGTCCTGAAGAACGCTATGTTGGCTCCAGTTAAGAGCTAGCGGCAGAAGCTTCGAATCAAGCTCGTGCCGTATATGTTGGTGTTGGTATTGGTATATCAGTCAGTGATGGTCAGTCTCAGAGAAGAGCTGCAGCTGATTTAAGTCCAACCTGAGTCATGTTCCAGCCCTACGAAGCTCGTTAGCGCGGCTCTTCGCAACGACTCCCGCCGCGGAAATCCGTCATCCAGCTGGGTATCTACACTCTTCACCGAACAACACCTCTTCACAATGCCGCCCAAGCGCATGACCGCGAACCCCGTCCGGCCCGCCCGTTACCGACCTGGAAAAGCGTTGGCCGAAGATGTCGACTCATCCGACTCGGAAGAAGCATCGGAGAACGAGTCGCCGCAGCCTTCTGCCCCCGCTCCCAAAGCATCCTCGTTTCCCAAGGACGCCGCGAAACTCTCCGCGAACTTGAGTAATGTCGATTTAAATACCCGGCGACAAGCCGCTGCGGCTCAGGAGGCTGCGCGCAGAGAGGCGGAGAAGGCGGCGAAGGCGGCGGCGGAAGAAGGCTTCGAGACCGAGTCTAGCGATGGCGGGTCGGAAGAGGGCAGCGGGAGTGAGAGCGAGAGCGAGGAGGAGTCGGAAGAGGAGGAGAGTAGTGAAGATGAAGTCGCCGCACGACGCAAGATGCTTCGTCCGATATTCGTCAAGAAAGACCAGCGTCAAGCTGCAGCCACAGCAGCCCAATCCGCGCAAAAAAGAGAAGAGGAGCAATATGCAGCGGAAGAGGCGAAGCGAAAAGAAAAGGCCAAGGCAATATTGCAAGAGCAGATTGAGAAGAACGCTGCGGCACGCGCCGCCGGAAAGAAATTCTGGGATGACGAGGACAACTTGGGCGATCTCGATGGCGTCGACGATACCGATGGTGTAAACCCCGAAGCAGAATATGCAGCTTGGAAGTTACGAGAGCTCTCACGTATCAAGCGTGAGCGTGAAGTCATCGAGGAAGCCGAGAAGGAACGCGAGGAGATAGAGCGGCGGCGAAACCTCACAGCTGAAGAGCGTGAAGCCGAGGACCGTGCATTCATTGAACAGCAACAGGAAGAGCGCGCCGATAAGGGCCAGATGAGCACGATGCAGAAGTACTTCCACAAGGGCGCATTCTTCCAGGACGATCTCAAGGCCGCTGGACTGGATAGAAGAGATATCATGGGCGCACGATTTGTGGACGATGTGAGGAATAAGGAGGCATTGCCTGAATACATGCAGATAAGAGACATGACCAAATTGGGCAAGAAGGGCAGGACCAAGTACAAGGATATGCGCAGTGAAGATACTGGGCGCTGGGGCGATTTCGGCGATCGTGGCCCAAGGGGCTCCGGGCCTCGAGGCGATTATGATAGTGGTCGGCCGGGATGGGATCGCGATGGGGCCACAGGCGCAAATGCAAGCGCATTGGGCGACAGAAAAAGACACGGAGACGATTCATCTGGAAGGGACATAAAGAGGTCAAGGGTCGCTGATGGTGACTAGATATCGTCGACGACTTTATCACCCTATCCTACTCATGGAAATGCTCCCTTCGCATTTGGCTTCCGACATGGATGCTACCGCAACGAGTCACCTGGATGCGCGACAACCACGTCGTCCTCAACATCATCAAAGCCTTCGTCTTCGCTCACGCCATCCTCCATCATACCATCGAAGCGTTTGAATTTCTCGTCTTTCCATTCTCCTGCCATCCAGTCAGCATAGGCTCCCGCTTGAACGAAAAAGAAGTTGAACTTACTGCCCCATTCCACAACATGCCCTTCTTGTACCTCGCAGTCCTTTAGCACAGTCTTATCGGCTGCCTTGGCAGGGCCACCCTCAATTTTACATCTCCGGCCAAGTATACATCCAGATAGTTGGACGTTTTCGCCAATCTCAACACCGTCCATGAGCAGGCATCGTTGCAACCGGGCTCCCTCGCCTATCTTGCAATTTGAACCTATGACCGATTCTTTGATGTTCGTCTTTTCGGCAATCGTCACGTTCTCGGCAATAAGGCTGTTCTCTTCCTCTACGCGACATCTTTTCGGGACAGCCTCTGGATGGGCAACCTTTAAGGCATGCGCGTATGGTGATGCAGCATCTTTGCCGACCTCGGCGATTGATGGTAGCCTGGCTAAGCGCAAGGAGACATTCAGGAGCAGCGAAGCAGTGTCAACTCGCCGAATCAGAGGCGCTGCTGGTTGTGTCGGGTGAACGTATGCAAGCAGTGGCGGCACCGTGAGCTTGGGGTCAAGGGCTTTAACCTGAAGAACCGGCACTTCAGGATCTCGCACTCGGGAGGCAAATGTGCGCGGCTCATCCTGTCTGGATTTGCCTTGAAGGCTCGCCGATGTACTGCTCAGATTAGCTACGTCAACCTCTTCGTTGAGGACGCCGCTGGTTGTCATCAGATCCTCGCCTCCCGCCTCTCCTGGGGCATTGAACACATCACGCAGACCAAGCTTGTCGCCAAGGCCGTCTTGCCAACCAGCTTTCGCCCACCAGCCCACAGCATCGCTTATGCTGTCGAACTTCTCGTTCCGTCTTAACATCTCCAGAACCCAAAAAGGAAAAAGATAGATGTGCGCGGTGCGATGTGTGGTGCGCATCTTGACGCAGCCATGCTGCCGCAGCAACGAATGACGAACGGGGAAACTCTTGTGCTCTTCGGTGATGTCTTTCATCACATCTGTAGGAATCGAGTAGACCAGGTTCGAGAGATGCGGCCGGAGCGAGCCAGACGGAGGTGGTACGACAGGCGAGGATAGCGGCGTGGTCGCAATGAAGTCGGTTTCCTCGCCTTTAACGGCGCCTTCATCCTTGGTCTGGTACCACACCCCAAGACCTCCTCTCCTTCCACTTTTTTCGCCCCCGAGTCCCATCTGCAAGGATCGTCCGTTATTTACCCCACCGGTCGCGTCTCCAAGTCCTGCTTCCTCGATCATCCATGCCTCCAGTAGACTTGCGCCGTCAAGCTCGCAGATCAGATCGCACGGAAGGACAACAAAGTCCGTTTTGATGGCGTTGTAGACCTCGGGCAGCCGGAATAATTCGCCGGTACCGGTTGTTTGTGTCAAGTCGGCTGGCGCAAGAATGTCTGGCTTGGGCGAGGGCAGTGATGTGAGGTGCGGGTTTTGCGACAAAGCGGCTTCGAGGGCGTCTGCGGACTCTGGAGGCGTAACAAGTGTGATGTCTGGAGCATTGCCTGTCAACTACCAAACGCTCTTCTGGCCAAGCGCAACATACGCTACATACTTGTGATTCCCATCCGGTAGCACCACTCGAGTGGGTACCACACCATCGGGCGATTCGCAATGGGGACCAGCGCCTTGGGAAAGTCTTTGGGGCTGGAGGTGAAGGTGTCGAGCGAGACCCCGGGCCCGCAGAGGATGAGGGTCTGAAAGCCGGGAGTAGGCATGGTCGCGTGTGGCATCGGAGTCACAGGGCAGACGAGGTGTTTGGGTTTGCGGATGCTCGATGCATGGCGGCTGGCAGAGTTTCGGCGGGGTCCTCGCTTCCGAGTCGGCGGGGTGTCTTGGGACCTTGGACCTCCGCCCCGCTCCGCCCGCGAGTCAGCCAGCCAAAAAAGCTTGCAGCTCCGAGCCCACTCTGTCGGCAGCAATGGACTGACTACGGAGTCCGTCCGCACAAAAGAGATTGGGGAACAAAAGTGAGGGTGCACGGATTTGAACCGAGAGCCTTCAGGATACCGGGATGCTGAAGCAACTGGAATCTGACGCGCTACCATTGCGCCACACCCCCTGCTGTGGTGCTAACTTTTGCTCTGCTGAGGTTAAGTATGCATACCACCCTTTTGTCAAGCTGCTATCGCACAATACTCACGCCACCCGAAGCAATTGGTGAGCGTTTCACGGGATTGCTTGCTTCTGGAGCTTTGCCATTGACATCTGTTCTTCCGGAGGCATTATCCTTGGCAGACCAAGACAGTCAGTGAGTTACATGACTATCTCCACAACTATTGAGAAGGTGAGGTTATGGGTACTACCTGATCCACCAGCAGGCTTGATCATGAATTCAGTTCCATGGCCTAGTCTTCCTCCTCCTGATCCCTTACTACGGTTGACGTCTCCCCACCGAGTCGTATGACTTCCCCCTCTTGTACTTCCATCCAAACATCCCTCAAATACTCGCCGTGCATTGCCTCCACGAAAAGATACTTTTCCAGGACGACACTTGCATGCAGTACATTAGCCACTCCTAGGTCCCACCGCAGGTCCTTCAACACCTCCAAAAACCCCTGCCGCTGCTCCACTTCATCACTCACAGCTCCTTGCGTGCATATCCAAAAGAGTGGTTCCATCTCAAAGGCAGCTGCGGCAGATACTTCTGCATGCTTGTTACTTCTGCACATGTGTACAATCTTGAGCAGACGTCGTGTCAAGGCGCGCATTCCCGTTGGTGCGATCAATGGTCTTGCGCCGGGATAGTCCTGGTTGAGGAAGACGGCCGAGTAGATGAGAAGAGCAAGGCGCGTGGCCTGTACCAGCAGTTGTCTCACATATATACTGGCCGCAGAAGCGGAATAAGTAGGAGAGGAGGCGTAGTCGATGCTCGCTGAGATGAGCTCGTTCTCTGCGCATGAGCGGGCGTAGACGATGTCGCGTTGCTGCTCTGGCGATAGCCGAAGGGCGCCGCTTCGGATAGCTGCCACGACGATGGTGATGTTGCGGAGATTGTTAACGGGGCTGAGGATGGCGCTGTTCATCAAATGGTAGATCCGTGACGTAAAGAGGCGCTCGCCAAGACTGCGGTAACGATTGATGATGCTAGGATTCAGCAGTGTCGAGAGATCAAGAGTGAAGAACGAGGGACTGGATGACAATAGAGGATGCTGCCAAGTCATGATTGCGGTCCTTGTAATTCCCCTTTGTCAAGAGAGAAGTTAGCGGTTTGGCCAGAGATCCAGATGATTGGACTCACTGACATGAGGACCAAAGCGGCCAAAGGTTTAGGGAGCTTATCCAAGCCGCCACGCATGCCAATCATGCACGACAAAGCATTGAGGTGCGGAGCTACGCTTCCATGATTGTTCGACATACACTTCGGGGCGAAATCTAATTGTCAGTCTCTACATGATATCAAGACAAGAGTTCGAAGTACCTCGAAAGCCAGCATGGCCACAACAGACAAGAGAGCAACATCAGTGCTCTCCTGCGACTGGTCCTGTAGCTTTGCATTAATGCTTCTGAGCAGCCTACCACGATAGAAGAGGACATCCCGCGATGTTAACGCGAGCTTATCTCCCCCGGTAAGATAGTAACCCTCATTGTTGAGAACGAACCTATGTATTGCGGCGCAGGCGTAGAGACCGTCAGCGGCGGTGCGATCGATGAGAGCCTGCTGAACCCAGACATCGGCTGCTACGCTGGTACTCGAGTCAATTGAGCCGATGTATGGCGCAAAGACATTGACGACTGCTTACTCGTCAGTTGAAATTTTGGAGAATTCCAGCATTGCCCATAGAATCAGATCTTTTCTGCCGTATGCAGTATATCTTACTCCTCTCCTATCCTGGAAGTTTGGCATAGTCAAGTAAGTCTGAAAGACCTACAATGATCGAACAGGAAATTTTTCTGTTCGCTACTTGGCTCCGGAGTGCCGTGACTCCTGCTGGCACAGTGGTCCACCCAGTTCACCGAAATACTCCTGGGGTCCGCTGCCGGCGGCCGCCACCGCGCTCCTTTCACAAAGCCAGATGGTAGTAATGTTACTGCGTGCCGTTCTGATCGAGTCCCGCCAGTCACCGCATCAACGGTGGCAACATGCGTTCTCAACGGCACATCACGTTGTCTGCGGCGTTCGTTGTTCCAATATCTAGCTGCCTTTGACCGGACATGGCTCCGGACCCCGCGCTGCTGCTGATCCGAAGGCCTGGAGAGATGGACAAACTCGAAATTTTGTTGCTGCTGCGGATTATCATCTTCGTCCTCTTCCATGGTGAAGCTGGCGCAATGACAGAAAATCGTTGGCGAACTTGTCCTAGATGGCTGGTCGGATTGTGCTCCATGAGTGGCTGTCCGCCCATTTAGTAGCTGGTGGAGTAGATAGGCCGTCAGTGCAACAACAAAATAAATTATGCAGGCTGGCGATTGGCAAAAGTGAGGCGCAGACAGCCGTAAGTTAGCTAGATAGGAAGAGCACTCCACTGGTGATCCTGCAGTAGCTTAAGTTAACCGGGGCATTGAGGGGTCTCGTCGCAAGCCCTACCCGATTGGACAGTCCAGCTGTCCCGACTGCTGTATCCTTGGGGAATGGTGATACAACCATGATTATCTCGATGATCTTATCTTTCTGTGTTGTACTGTTGTTTGGTGCCGGAGACCAAAGTTGACTCTTCGGGCAGTCAAAAGCTGAGGTTCGGCTGTCTTAAGTACTTAAGTACCTGGCTAATTGCTGGCCCCCATCCGACCATGAGCAGCGAATATATTTAAGTCGCTGTATGTGCGCAATTTCCTCATGGCTTCTCCTTTTGTGAGAACTGCGGACTCGCTCTTTACTGAACTCATCAATCACTTCACGAGATATACGGATCTTGTACTTACTGCTCTGTCTGATCGTCACTTACTGATCCAAGCTACCGGTAATAAACATTGGAAATACGTGTACCTTTGGAGACAGATCCCACGAGAAATGAGCCGAGGCCGGCCAATTTAGTGACACAATTAGTCCTGGTCTCTACAATTGATCACATGTGTCACTTGACACTATGTCTTCGTTGTGATTAGCTTGATCACACGGTTGAGTTCCTTTTTCATGTCTTTGCTCACGCGTTTACCTAGAACTTCATTTCCCCATTGGTAACCACTCATAACTCTTCATGATTCGATCATGATACTGTACGTGTCAAGAACAACTCAGATGCTCGAACAATGAATTAATACAACATGACCTTTATCCGCAACAACGTCTCTCTTCGCGCCTTTGTCTTCCCTGGCTACGACGCAGAAGTTGTCCGCACTGGAGGTATGATGTGGTAGAATTCTGGAAGTGATAGACTTGTCAAGGCGATGTAGAGTGACCGGTATGAATTGTCAAGGAGGTATATAAAGTCGGCACTTGGATGTACAAAATCGTAGCCGACAGAGTATTGCAACACCATCAATCAGTACCACTCTTGTACACCAACTACTCTTCTTAAACAAACAAATACAACTGCCATCATAGGTGGAATATGGAAGACGGGTAGGTACCTAGTTCCAAGCAGTCAATAAGCCAAGGTTCGTTAACAAAAAAACAAAAGTGTAACTCCACAACTCGAAGTCAGTGAGACAGTTCTGTCTCTGGGGCAGCATGGAGATCAAAATCCAGACGCCCCTCCGATGCCATGGAGGGATCTGCATCCAAGCGTTCAGCGACTGATCACTCTCCTGGCGTTCTTCGACTCCGAGGACATACCTCTGGACCTGCTCGTTCCTGTTGAGGCAATACCAGCAGAATACAGCTTCCTGAAAGAGAACTTGAAGAAATGGTATGTCAATACAATCGCTGTCTCGATGCCGTGTACCTGACTCCATTCAAGAAAAACATCAGCTAAGCATTCACTAGGCTCAAGCGTGTCCTCCTCAAGCGCCCTAAAGTCCACGCGTCAACTTCGCCTCCTCTGTCAGAGAGGATTTGGGCGGAGGCTTGGTTGGATACAGCATCTATGTCTTACTCTACGCTCGTCTCAGACTACAGGCATGAGCCAAGCCATGAAGATCGGGAGCTGGCTTGCCTGGTAGCTGCAATGCTTCTGTACGACAAGTTCCCACGAAGGCATACTGCCGAGCAAATGGAAGATTACTTTGGAACATGTGGGAGTCTCATATGCCACGTTGAGTGCTTCGCCCAGCGATACAAAGAACTTCAACACCAGGGTTTTTCTCAAAAGATAGGCAACCTCTCCTTTTTGTTGTCAGATGCTGCATTGTAAGCCCCAAAAACGCATTCAAAGTTGAAGAAGCAGACCTAATACTTCACCAGGTACCTCCAGGATATCGGATTCCCATCGAGAGCCCTACGGCTCATCCGACTCGCCGTGCAAGAAAGCACCGAATCCACAGTCCAGTCCCCATCGACATCCATCTTCCTGCTCGGCACCTGTGGCACCATCGAAGATCAACTAGCCCACTACGAGGACGCCGTCCGATCCTTCTCCGCTGTGCTCAAGCAAGAAGAAGCTCTTGATCCTCCAAGCCTAGCCACGCTCGCTTTCGCCCACAGCATGCTCGCCTACGCACTTCCCGGGATCTGGAGAGCCGAAGACGCCATCGTCGCCGCGAACAGATCGATTGCGATCTTCGAGTTTGAAACCGCAGACGCGTGTGTAGATGAGGGAACGCAACTGGCTTACCAACCCGATCGCTTGCATCGCAACCGTGCCCGCGCTTACTTTTTCGCTGGGGATTTCGATACCGCGAAGAAGGGGTTTGAGGTCGCGGATGAGTGGGCCACGCGGATACATGGCGAGAAGAGTCACTACCATGGCGAGTAAGTCCATCTTTCGTATCTCCCTTTCCCTCTTTTCCTCGCGAGTGCCCGCTCACCCAAGTCTACGATTTAGGGTACTTTACTCCCTTGCCCGCATAGCCATGGCCCAACAGGAATACGGAAAAGCTTCGAGGCTGTTTTGTGAGGCGCGGTTCTGGCTCAGACCCGACTCCATACCTCCGTTCAAGTATACCGGTGCCAGAGCGGCCGCTACGTTGCAGCTCGGTAGGGTGCTGACGCTACAGGGGAAGACCGCAGAGGCGCTGGAGGAA